CTAGTTCGAACTAGCGGGGTAGTGTAGACATACCCTCAGGGACTAAATCCAGAAAATCCAGGGGTCGCAGGTTCTCCACCCCTTTTAGGGTATGTCTACACTACCCCGCTAGTTCGAACTAGCGGGGTAGTGTAGACATACCCTCAGGGACTAAATCCAGAAAAGCCAGGGGTCACAGGTTCCCCACCCCTCTGTTAGAGGATGTGCAGTTGTTGTATGAGCTCCTGATGTTGTGGCTTATGTGGTTAGGTCCCGTGTTGGTGTCGCTTGTATAGATATGTAGACAGAGTTGGCAAAGGGATTTGTTGCAGGAGTAGGTTCCTGGGTGAGTATATCTGAGGTGTGATGTGTGGCTATTGGAAAGGATTTGCCTCAGGTTGGGGGGCTATCTGTAAGCAGAGGCAGCTCTAGACTAGCTGCCAGCAACTGGTGCCCTAGGCAAACCATGCAAACAGTACCCTCTCCTCCAAACCTCTCAATGATATTGCACCACCCTTTGGCGCCCCATTTAACTTAGTGCCATAGGCGACCGCCTAGTTTGCCTATATGGACGGGCCGCCCCTATCTGTAGGTGAGAACTGGCCTCTCTCCCAAGGCCTGTGAGAGCAAGGGGTCATATTCCAGGATAGGTTGTAGATTGTACAAGCAACACTGTCACAGAAATTCACCACATAAGCCACAACATCGGGGCTCATACAAATGCACATCCTTCAATGTGTTATATGGGTGAAATGCCTCTCTGCCATGTATATTGGCTAAACTGGACATTCTCTATGACAAAGGATAAGTGGACACAAATCAGTCATCAGAAATGGTAACACGCATAAACTTAGAGAGGAACATTTTAACCTGCCTGGTTACTGAATCATGGATTTAAAAATAGCTATTCTTCTACAAATGAATCTCACTCACCAATTACAGAGAGCATCTGCAGAACTGGAATTCATCCACAGATTTGAAATCCTTATCCTGGACTTGAATAAAGACATTAACTGGTTGGTGCATTACAAAACCAATTTATCCTGCCTTTAATTTCCATATCAAAAGACATGTCCCACCCACTTAATTAGCCTTATTAACAGGTTCATTAATAGGGTCCTACAACTGACAGGTATGTGTAGCTGGGTGCTTACCATGGTGTCCACATTGTGCGGTTTCATCTACACCAGTGGTCTCCAACCTTTTTACACCCAAGATCACTTTTTAAATGACAGAACAAGCCAAGATCTACCGCCCCGCCCCTTCCTTGAAGCTCCACCCTCTCTATTCTCCTCCTGTCCATCACTTGCTATCCCCAACCCTTATACCGCTACTTTTTTTCCCAATTCTTCTGTAGGAAGAGGTTTTTCCAACATTTGGCCTGTCTAGACTGGACCAAATGTCAGAAAACCCCCTTTTTTGGAAGCCCCCTTATTCCTCGTGGAAAGAGGAATATG